CTCATACTCTCTGTCTGATTGATCAGTCCTTTGTATCCGAACAGGCATTTCTGGGACAGACAATAGAAATTAATCCTGTAAAGAGGAAGGCCAGTTCCCATGAGTCCCAAAGGACTATGGTGTCTTTAAACTGCTGATTAGGGCCTTTATAAAATTTGATCAGTTGCTTGAAAACGTGTTAAAACTGAATACATGTCTGTAGTTACCAATACTTTAACATAGAACCGGAGAACACTTAGTCTTACACATTTTCACAATACTGATTTAAAAATCCTCCTTGTCTGATGGAAGCCTTACTTTACTTGGAATACTGAAAATGAACACTACAGAACGCATACAAATTGTGACAGCCTACCTTTAAGTACCATAACATTGTAACTCATTGTGTTTGTTATGATGCCATGTGGCTGTAGGCACCATCCCTCGGTTCCAGAATGGTTTAACAAAAAACGGGGCTCTCCCTCACACTCACAGTCTGTCCCCCTGCTCAGCTTCACCAATAAATTGGACCTCTGGACAAGACCAGTGGCGGATCCAGAGCCTGATCTTGGGAGGAGCATTTGTAGATTATTTAAAGAAATAATCCATGCACAATAACCACTACAGCTCTGTGTAGTGGTTATGGTGCCACGAGTGCCGGGACCCCTCCCAGAGTAAGTAGTCAAACCGTTTAAGAACAGTTTGACAACTTACCTGGGGTCTGCTGGGATATGTGGCTGTAGTAGGGCATAGGAGCAGTGGTCTGTGTGAGTGGTGCAGTGTGTGTGTGTGTGTGTGTGTGGGGGGGGGGTGTAGTGTGTGAATGTGTAGGGTGTGTGAGGCAATGTGTGTATGGGGGAAGTGTGTGAATGTGTATGATGTGTGTTGGGGCAGTGTGTGAATGGGGGGCTGCATGTGTATGAGGGGGCAGTGTATGTGTGTGGGGGGAGCGTATGTGTGTATGGGGGCCCGAGGTGTGTGTGAGGCAATGTGTGTGTGGGCAGTGTGTATATGGGGGCAGTGTGTGTATGGGGGCTGTGTGTTTGTATGGGGGCAGTGTATGTGTGTGTGGGCAGTGTGTGTTTGGGGGCTGTGTATGTGTGTGTGGGGGCAGTGTGTGTATGGGGGCAGTGTATGTGTGTGTGAGGCAGTGTGTGTATGGGGGCAATGTGTGTGTGGGGGGGCAGTATATGGGGCAATGTGTGTGTGGGGGCAGTATATAGGGGGCAATGTATGGAGGGAAATGTGTGTGTGTGTGGGGGCAGTGTGTGGATGTGTGGTGAGTAGGGAAGGTTTTTTTTTCCATAATTTAAAAAAAATAAAAATAAATATTCATTATGCCCCCCCTCCCTTCTTACCTTTATTGAGGAGGAGGGCATTTCTCCATCCCTGGTGGTCCGTGGGGAATCCCTGGTGGTCCCAGTGGTTAGAGTGAACTCCATTTATGCATGTTCAGGTGAGTGCAGCCAACCCCCTTGTTTCATATGTATATATTTGGGAGTCTAGCCAACTCCTTGGTTTTGCACCCCTCCCTGTCACAGGTGCCTCATCCCAGGGCCCTATTTAGCCTTGTACTGCAGAGAGCCCCAGATGGAATTTTTTCCTCAAGTAAGTGGTTAATCTCATAAGAGCAGACATTAGGCTGTTAGTGTAGGACCTGCCAAAGATGGGGTACATTGACGTTGTGGCAGGCTTATGCAATGTATGATCATATAATGTAACTAAACCCCCATTATTTTTGCCTAGATTAGGTGTTTAAAAAAAAAAAAAACGAATAAAATCTTTCAACTTTGAAGTTGCTGTTTAGTGGATAGGTGAGTGCGCTGGATCTTGTGTTTAGAGTGAACTCTAGCCCGTAGCTCCAGGGCTAGAGTTCACTCTTGAAAGATCCGGGGTGTTGCCGTGGTAACTGCGGCAACGCTCCATACTCGCGAGAGTAGGACCTGGAGGAGCTGCAGGCTGAGCTCCTGGGTCCTCTCTCCCTCCCTCTCTCCCTGCCGGCTGCTAGCATGTGCCTGCGGACCGGGGAGGGAGATCTCCCTCCCCGGTCCGCAGGAACATTCCAGGGCTGGCACTTGAACAGTGCCAGCCCTGCATTAGCCCGCAGGGGAGAATCTCGGGGGGAGGAGAGGGATGGAGGCGGGGGGCAACAAGATAGGAAAGGGGGAACATGAATGCTGCCAGAATGGGGCTTGGGACTTTCCACTTGAGATACCATATATCAGGGGAGCTAGTTTTTGTTTAATGGATTGTTACTGGGTGGGATGCATCAGTCTGGTAGGGTCAATTTGGGTAACTGATGAGGCTAATGGCTGCTGTGGGATCATGACCGCATTGTGACTGTTTGTTGGGGTATTTCTCAGGTTGACAGGTTGCTTTAAGGTAATACTGACTGATTTTGGGATGCTGTGTTTAATTAACTAAATAATGCAAAGACCATTGCCCTTTCCACTACATAATTGTGTCCTGTGTATTTAAGGACAGCTGGTACGGGGTATATTGGGTCTGCAGTTATGCAAAAGCTACACTTCTGCATTACCAAGTGTGAAACTACCCAATCTACATGGCAAGTCAAATTTTTAGGTGCTTGGGTGAGTAGACAGATTCCAAACATTTTAGGCTTAAAATGAAGTTGCTTGTGGTTTCATGGAGAATGAGCAGATTCTGAGGGTCATACTGTAAATGGACAGATTTTTGGATTCTTGGGGGTGAATGATCCACTGTCTACTTGATAAACTGTCAGAAATTAAGATGTTAATCTAAACCTACTACAGAATGGTTAGATATAAACTATTTTAATTTGCTGGAAATATTGTTTCAAACCATTTTTTATACAAAACTATTTTAGTAACCTTGTCACTGTAATGTGAATTAGCAAATATAAAATATATTTAGCACAAGATAGCACAAAAAAAATATTTTTGGGTTACCCAGCAATTGTCATGTTTTGGAATTGACGAGGACATGTATCGAATGACATGCATTTTTCTTATTTGTCCTTATCTGGCACATTTTTTCATTTTCTAACAATTTATATGATTGTTTGCAGCTGAAAGACGTTTCTCTCTGATAACCACATGACTTGGAATGGTCTCAAACTTTGGTTTTCTAAAGATTTTCTACAATTACATAACTTCATCTTGAATATACAAATATAATTTAAAAAAAGCTTCTGAACTGCAATTAAATGAAAAATAATTTGCTCTACTTCTTTCTGTCGTCTGCAAAGGATCATTACAGAAGATTTCATTTTATCCTTTATTTTTTCTCTGGCTGTTTGTGCTCCCTTTCGTGCCTTTTGCCTGCTCCGCTAAGTTCTAGGGGCAGAATGAAGATGTCATGTGACAGTCAGCCAAAAGTCTGCTTCTGCTGGAGAGCATCGTACATGAAATATTTAAATGTTACCCACCCCTCAGGACTTGGGAGTTCGCAGCTAAGACATTGAAGGATTTTCCATGGACAAGAAATGGAGGTCATTTGCTTCGGAATCAAAGATTTTCGCTAACATAAATTAATTATATTACCACACACAGACAGATATCTATGTAAAGTTCACATACACCGTATATATGTAAATAAAAAAAAAAAAAAGAAATATGGCAGTTATTGTAAAATTACTCCCAGATTTTTTTTTTGGTAACACTCTGCTTGCGACTGAGCGTTCGTTCCAACAACCTGTATATGTTTTTAATCCGGGTAATGTAGACATATTGGCGACATCGCAGCGGAAAGCCTTCCAAACTGGAATATTACAGTACATTTGGCTTTTTGTTCTAAGCCCATCGTACATGCCAGTTCAAAAATCTCTAACAGTGCCCATTTTAATCAATGGGAATTTTGGGCAGGCCTATATTTGGAATTCGTTCTGCGGAGAAATAGCTGTCTGAAAATATTTCAATGTGTGGAACCAGAATTACTGTTATTCTTGACTGCAGACTCCAAAGTGAAAATGAACGTTATGGAGTCTCCTTCGTGACTTGGCATATTAACCCCTTTGCCTGCTGGAGACATGAAACACATTATAAATTCAGATGACATGTATGCATGATAAAGGCAGATATATATCCATATAAATGTTCCTCCTTTACTATCACAATGTCATTGAGATCAGTGTTAGCCTAAGCTGTGTATGCAATTTTTATTTGCACCAACATAAGTTGATAATGGACTGTGCAAGTATAGACATCTACAAATATGAAAAAGCAGGGCGCTAATAAGTTATAATAAGTATAAAACAATGCCAGCTTCAAATATGTAGAATATATAATATATATAATTCTAGATATATATAGGATGTGACGGCAGATAAGAACCATTCGACTCACCTAGACTGTCCGATTTTCTCAATATTTTAATTACTCTTAAATCTAGGATAACCTTATGCCTACCAAACACATGCTTAAACTCCCTCACTGTGTTAACTTCTACCACTTCACCTGGAAGGCTATTCCATGCATCCACTACCATCTCAGTAAAGTAATACTTCCTAATATTATTTTTAACCCTTTGCCCCTCTAATTTAAGACTATGTCCTCTTGTTGTGGTAGTTTTTCTTCTTTTAAATATAGTCTTCTCCTTTACTGTGTTGATTCCCTTTATGTATTTATATGTTTCTATCATATCCCCCCCCCCCCACTCCGTGTCTCGTCTTTCCTCCAAGCTATACATGTTGAGATCCTTTAACCTTTCCTGGCAAGTTTTATTCAATATATTGAAAACTAAAATAAATAGCAGTGGCCACTGTTTAAATACTAATTCATGTAAATAAGCACAATCATACAATACATAACAAACAAAGAAAATGAAACAAAAAATGACAATAAATAGCAGCAAGATAATAATATTCGACAACTGCGATTTAAATATAATTCTCAAAGTGTCAGCAGCACCATGCATTGTGCAAAGTAGTTGATTATAAAAAGTTGGAAATTTAAATTTTAAATTTAAAGTAACAGTTTGTATCAAACAAATATTGAAGCTCCAGAATGGTATTTTTTTCCAGTGGAGAAATATAGCAAACCATGTCTGATAAAAGCAATCTCCAGCATCCAAGCCGTTGCCGTGTACTGTCCTTCACTGTAGCAATACACCCCCAACGACAAAGTTTTCTGAATCCAACCCGGTCTCAGCTGAGTAAATGTGGAATATCCCATAGTGTGCACAGTTTGCAAATGGATGTAGCTCATGCCAACGCTAGTGTGATGCTAGCCACCAATAAAGTGATGTAAATCTCTCCAGTAAAGTGATTTAAATGTGCCTGTAGTAATAAAGGAACATCAAGATCTACATGTTTCATACTAGTATAAGGACTTTATAAGGAGCACAAATTAATATGAATATAATCATTTGGACTGTGTAAGTATACCTCCATCACCACTTATTATTTAATTATTTCTGATAAAGTAGAATTACTTGATGGCGGAGTTATGGGACTCCCTAAGTTCAAAGTTCTTTTATCCAAAACAGCAGACCCACCAATCCAAAATCTTATCCACCTTTTTCCACTTTGATATCCAAACCATGCTTGCATTTAATTTATTTACATGATCTTCAAAATGAATAGCCTTCCCAATTTTGACAAACCATTCTGTCATTTGGTACTTTTAATGGACAGATATTTTTGTCTGTGCATAAAGGCTTTGCATTTTGAATACACTGTAGTCTCTTATACAATAGTCCATATTTAAAAAAACCCAAAAACAAATTCTATGGTATCGTTATTGAAATGGAGCAGTCACCATGGAAACCATAGAACAGGTTTTTTTTATTTGCTCCATTTTTAAGATTAACAGCAGAATTGTTCTTCATAGTAAAACCACAGTTTTCAGAATACAAAATACACGCATAACTACCTCTTAAATGATACATAAACTATAGAACTTTCTTAATGCTTTCATTTGAATAGATGATAATTGTATTGGTACATTGTTTTAAAAAAAACAAACAAAAAAAACAACTATCATTGTTTTAGTTGATGCCTTTTTTTGGTCACTCAGTACTTGTCATGTTACCAGACTAAATGAAATATGTACCCTACATTGTTTAACATGTTTCATTTCTAAGTATAGCAGCACAAAGTGAATATCAAGGCTCTGCAGACCGCAGGTGATAAAGAGATAACTAAAAGCTTTGTGACTGTGCGTTGTCTGCTTGGTGGGAAAACGATTATTTTCCACCAAGTCTACACTACACCAAGAGAAGGGTAGAAAAAGCTTGGACACTCAGATAAAAAGAAGACCATTTAGCCTTTTCTCTAAAGTCTAGGATCCTTGCTGAGGGATTATTTTACACAGGCCTCTGTTTTGGCTGTCACGGCCTAGGATTTTACTCAAAGCCATGCAGCAGATGTCAAGCCTCAGAATTCCTCACAAATGATGACCTTAGTGGGTCAAGGCCCATCCAGCAGTTTTCTGCCTCAAGCTGTGTAAAAACAGAGGCAGCAGAAAGACTCTCTTCTAGAAAGCCCGTCTAAGTGACTGTATTCCTAGTTACCCCCCTCCGCAGACCAAAGTCCTTGTGAAACACTACAGCTCTGAGAATAAAAAAAAACAAAAACAAAAAAAACTCTAGGCAGTTAACTTGCCTTTTTCTTTCTCTCCTTTTTTTTCTATAATGAATTAATGGATGTTTTTAATAGAATGCAAGCTACAAAGGTCTAACATATTTTTTGCGCTGTTTTTGCAATTCATGTTCACGGAACCCTTTGTCCTGGATTACTCTGTAGATGGCTACAATGTGGTGGAGTAGATAATGTCAAAGATGTCCATGTAACGTGTTGTAGGGAATTGCAATAAAAGCGATGTTGAAAATATGCAGTTCAGCGCATCTACACATTCTTCTGACCAACAAGAATTCTTTGTATACATACTTCTTTTTTTACACTGACTGGTAAACAAAATATAACTCCAATATATTCATTATCAGAACAATATCTGAATCACTACAAGTGAAAACAAAAGACAAGTCAATAACATGCCGAGAAGCAGGTTAGGATTTAATAATGTAATAAAAATAAACCATTATATGTTCAAGGTTTCTATTAAATTGGCGAGTTCTTAGATCCATTTTATCCCACCAGCTTTTGCAATGTTATAGAAAATGACAAGGAAGGGGTGATATACAGAGATAAGGCTTCATGTTTCTCTAAATTGATGCCTTTATTGTTATTTTTTTTTATCAAAAAGGATAATGTTTTTGTGGACTTCTAAGATATATTAAGGAAGATGTTGTAGCCGCTAATATTTGGGATCAATGGATGTCTATCAAAGTTACAAGCAACAAGACCTTTAAAACAGAGAGCATGCTATCTCCATTTACAGTTCTTACGAACATGTTTGGATACTACCTGTTTCACATTGACAGCTCTTCATTAAGTTTTTTTTTTCTAATAAATTAAATATTATGGTGAATTGAAATCCAAAATGCAAAAGCCAGGCTAAAACAGCCAGAAGAATTTTAAAGGACCACTCTAGGCACCCAGACCACTTCAGCTTAATGAAGTGGTCTGGGTGCCAGGTCCAGCTAGGGTTAACCCTTTCTTTTATAAACATAGCAGTTTCAGAGAAACTGCTATGTTTATGAATGGGTTAAGCCTTCCCCCAAAGCCTCTAGTGGCTGTCTCATTAACAGCCGCTAGAGGCGCTTGCGTGCTTCTCACTGTGATTTTCACAGTGAGAGCACGCCATTGTCCATAGGAAAGCATTGTGAATGCTTTCCTATGCAACCGGCTGAATGCGTGCGCGGTTCTTGCCGCGCGTGCGCATTCAGCCGACGGGGAGGAACGGAGGAGGATCGGAGGAGGAGAGCTCCCCGCCCAGCGCTGGAAAAAGGTAAGTTTTTCCCCCTTTCCCCCTTCCAGAGCCGGGCGGGAGGGGGACCCTGAGGGTGGGGGCACCCTCAGGGCACTATAGTGCCAGGAAAACGAGTATGTTTTCCTGGCACTATAGTGATCCTTTAACACCACTATTGTCTAAATTTTGTATTTTGATTTTTACTTTATTACATTTTGTTGTTTAAATGACCTTTGTCCACCAAATAGAAACAAATAAATGGTTTTAGCTAAATATGTAACAGTGTAACATAGCTTACATTGCAGTTTATTTATAAATGAAATTGCTAAACTAATGCATAACAAAATTCTATTCTGCTGTATTATAAATGTAAGGGTTTTGGGCTACATTTAGCAATTCAGGTTTTAAATTATTGCAATTCACACTTCAGTGAATAAGCCTCAAAGAAAAAGCCAATGGAAGTTGCAGAAAGGAAAAGACTATGCAAGAAAATTTGTGCATAACATTTTTTTACATTATTAATTAACCAGCCGCATATCTCAGATAGCATGTAATATTGCTGCATATGTACCAACGAATTGCTACTCTCATGGCTGAAGTGATAATTCCCGGTTCCTCACACCAAAAATTTTTATTTCAACGTTTACTGAGATGAACAGAGCAGTGGAGGTATGTCAAAAAAATGTACTTACCTTCACTGCATGTCCATTTTCTGGGTGATTATGCCACCCCATAATGCCTCAAGCAAGCTCCGTCATCTAATTCTGTATATGTGCCTGTATGCTTGACTTTTCACCTAGCATAAAGCACTGCAATAGCTAAAATGAACAAATTAAATTAATACTCCAAGCACCATAACCACTGCAGCATTCTAGTAAATACCTGGGATTTTCTTACATGGGTCCACCTCCACTATATCCTTCAGAGAGCCAGAAACTCTTGCTTAGGTATGTCTGTTAGCACTACCGTGCTAAGTACTGCACGACTAAGCTTAGTTTAGCCCAGACAGTGAGTTTCCAGCTCTCCGATGGCTATAGTGAAGGTTGGAAGTGGCTCCAAGTAAGATGCCACGCTATCCTAAAACAGTTTGACCACTTACATTGAGGGGGTGCCAAGGGCACACCTGACATCCAAATGGTTACAGACCGTTACAGAAATATATATAGGTATTAACAAACAAAATAAAATATTCTTTATACAGGATGGTGACCCATTGTTCATCATTGCAAACAATGTTAGTGCCTTAATGGGAAACTATAGTCATCAGGACCACTACAACTTATTGTAGTGGTTCTGGAGTCTATAGCCAGTCCCTGCAGGCTTTTCTATGTAAATACTGCTTTTTCACTAGTGGTAGTCACTGAGACGGCCACTAGAGGTGCTTCCTGTGTCAGTGCTACACAATGTGCAGCACTGACATTCAGCGTCTCAATGCTCTGCATGGAGATGCTGAACATTCCCCATGGAGATGTACTGGTTCAATGCATCTCTATGATGAGATGCTGATTGGTGCAGTGTGGGATTTTGGATTGGCTGAGATCATCAAGACTGATGATCTCGGTCACAGCAATACCTGTGTGGTGTGGGAGAAAGGGTGAGTAAAATTACCTTTTCACTGCAATCGGAGGGGTGCAGGGGAGATAAACAGCCACTACAGATCTAGAGTGCCAGGAATACATGTGTGTATGTTTCCTTTAATAGTAATAAAAAAATTAACGAAAATTGTTTTTTTTTTGTCCAAGAGGTTCTGCAGGGCAGCAGATAGTACCCTTATCTCCACTGACTTTTATGATGGACAGGCAACCTTCTCAAATCATTCCAATCACAGCAGCCCGGGATAATCGCACACCTGCCACGCTGAGCTGCCAGCCTCTGCGCAGAACGTGCCATTAAACATCCATTTTTCAAGCTGTAAATTACACGTAGCAATGTCATTTTTCAGTGTGCCGTGACAACTAAATATTTGTCTCAACATTAATATTGAAGTTTAATACTTGAGAGATTTGGGGGAGTTTATTTTAATTTAATCTTTTGCCACGGGCAATCAATTGTACTTGTCACCCACCTGATCCAGAACTGGCATTCTGCTGCTGATAAATTAGCTGCTGGTGCCCACTCTAACTCCCCAGATTTTAGGAAAAACTCAGAATCTTAAATAATAAAATGTTGTATTTTTAACTTCACTTTTTTTTTTTAACGGCAGAAAGCTTTAAAAATGCTTTTTACAGTTATTCTATTATCATAATTAATCTTTTGACTCTGACATCTGTCATTTGGCCATAAATAGATACAGAACCTGTCATATTTCTTGAGAAGCTAGGACTATGAGTGTGTTTCATATATTTTTTCATATATACGGGTGTGTGAGCGTCTGTATGTGTGTGTGTGCATGTGTGTGTGTTTGTATGTGAAAGAGAGAAAGTCATGCTCCCAG